CCTAACAGGCATCCGTCTCACTCTGTCTCATTAGCATGCTCTGTGTGCCGAGCAGCCAGGCGCAAGAAGGAAAATAAAAATCACTCGGCCAGTGGGCACGTAAAGCACAGTGTGTTTCGGCCCGAGAGAGAGAGAGATAGCAAATTATCGGTCTTGTGGACGAGCTGGTCTCGGGCCGGCGGCGGTGGAGCGAAGGTTCGGCCAATAGCGTGTCTCAACGGAAACCCATGCACCTGCACTGTGCAAGTTGATTTTCCCTGCGTGGGGGAAGCCCTGTGTATCCAGCCAGGTGCGGCCGAGCGAGCGCCCAGCCCGACCAGGGCCGACCCGGCCGGGCGCGCAGATTGGGCGATTCGATCCCGGGCCGAGCCTGGCCGAGCCTGGCCGTGCCGTCGTTGGGATCATGATCCCGGCTCGCCGATAAGGAACCGAGTCTTCCGGAGCAGCAGCACACTCACGTCGATCTGTCTCTCTCGCACTCGTGGGGCTTCTCCTATGCAGGTGCGAGAGAGACGGGGCGACGAAAACGAATCTCTGCAGCGCGTGGCGCGCGTGGCGCCGGTAATGAATGACGACGAGGCGCGGCACCGCGGCACCACGGCACCACGGCCACCACCGGAACAAGGAAGGAGCACGCCAGGCCCGCCAGGCCCACCACGCCCCCCACCGGCCGGAGCAACATTAACGGCGTAATTGGTTCATCGGCCCCAGCCTGACGCGCACCGCGCACGCGTCGACGAAAAACTAGGCACACCACGAGAAAAACCGTTACCAACTCACTTTAATTTTTTCAAATTTGACTTTTTATTTGAGTGTGTTTGATTTTCGACAGTTCCGATGGCTGCTGCAGAGCGTGCGACTGCACCCATCGCTCTGCTCTCCTCTCACTCGCACTCATGGGGCGGCGGCGGTGTTCCCTGTGGGAGCGAGAGAGACGGAATCAGTCCGCAGCGCGCGCCGCTTGAAAACGAAAGCTGTGCGCTGCTTTCGTTTCACGCCGCCGGCTCGGCTCCGCGAGTTCCAAGCGCCAAGTCCAAGGGCGCGCCGCCACGGCCGCCCGGTCCACACGCAGCGCGGCGCGGCGCAGCACGCAGGCCGTCGAACCGAACCGCGCCGTCACGCCGCGTCCAGCACAGTCACTGCCTCGCCAGCCCAGACCCGTGAAACGCGCGCCAAACGGAGAGAAGCACACGCTTTTTGCAGTGTACTCGACGTACACCGCCGCGCTCGCCGCCACGCGTGTCACGCGCGAGTCGCCTGGTCGTCCCACACGCGGGCACCGCCGCCCCGCCCCGCCCCGCCCCGCCCCGCCCCGTCTGGTGACCCGCGCCGCGCCCACCGTCCCACCGCGCCGTGTGATGTACATCCACGCGCATCCGTCCCGTCCAGGCCGTCCAGGCCGTCCAACTCGGAAGACAGACATCGTCGTTTCACCGGCGATTTTTCATTTTTCACCCTTTTCCAACGCAGGCGCGGGATGAGCCAGTCGAGGACACCCCGCGCGGAGTACGTCCTCAATGTACGTCCTGGAGCGGGGCGTCCACTCCGTCTGCCTCTCTCACACCGACCCAGGGCGCCCTCTGAGAGCGAGAGAGGCGCACCTCTCGCTCGGAATCAGTCTGCTGTAGGCCGGAGTAAGGCCAATTCTTGCGCCGCGGCTGGTCATTCCGCCTCGGCGTTTTACGAGCGCCCTCCTCAAAGTGGTCACTAACGGTCACTAATTCGAGGAAGTGGATTGGCTCTCGAAGCCAGCCACCCCCACCTGTCGCGAGCACTTCCCAACGACAGCCACCACTGCACTGCGAATCGATGGGGGGAGGGAGAGGGGTGCATTGCACCGCCCGAGCCGCGGGCGCCAATCAACGCCTCGTCTCTCTCGCACTCGAGGGGCGTTCGCGGCGTGCGTGCGAGAGAGACAGCGAAGGGTGCGATATTTGCGCACGCACAGGGCGCGTCGTGGCGGCGGGAGACGACCTGCACTGTGGGAAGACCCAACCAGCCCCGGTAAAATAGCGTTTTTTTATCAATTTGTGTTTGTGCTGTCGCCTTGGGAGCGAACCTCCTTCCAACTCGCCGCGACGGGCCGTTCCTCATCACTGCATTACCTCTTATTAACGCCCCCTCCCTCCCGCCAGAACTTTCTTATCAACTTCTTCACCGCCGCCGCGTCTTTTTTGTTGTTTATTTTCCATCTTTTGTATTTTTTACCTCTTCGCGAGAATTAAGGCTGTCGGCAAAGCGTCGTCGCGAGAGACCTCGACAAAAGAGAATAAAAGTTTGCGGCGGGGAGGAGGGGGGAGAGGGCGCTAGGTGTAGGATAGGCGTGGCGGGGCGGTATTCATGCTTGATGACGCCATTCATTGCATCGCGGCGATCGCGGCCCCAGCTGGCCGGGCCGTGGCGAGCCGCGCCAATTGATCCGGACTCCAGCCTGCTCCATGGAGCCTCCAGCCCGCTCCAGCCCGCTCCAGCCGCGGCGAACAAACAGTCGGATTAATTCAATCCGAACGAGGCGCCCCAAAACGGGGGGCGCCACAAACCGCGGTATTCCATCCATTTCCATTTTATTTCATTTCACTTTATTTTTCACGGTTGCGGAGCAACGTTGCACGGTAAAGAGTGGGGAGTCAAAGGGGGATTTAAATTATCCGCCAAGCAAATTTAGGTACGGACCCCACGTCGGAAGTGCACTGCAAAAAAATGGCTGCAGGCAAACGGGCCGGACAAAGAAACGCCGCGGGCTGCGACGGGGTGCGACGGGGTGGCGGAGAAAAGTGGGACTGAAGCGCCAAAGGACCAGGAGTAGCAAACCGAGAGACGGGAGGGAAGGGGAGGTGGCGCCAGGGGAAAGAGAGGGAGAGGGAGGGGAGGGCAGGGTCAGAATGGAGGTCAGCCAGGGGAAGTGAAGGGTGGGGAGGGCGGCCGGCCGGCCGGAGGGGAGGGAGGGCTGCATGTAGATGAAGAAGGTGACGACAACTGATAGTGATGAGGGTGGAGGGAGACAGGAAATTATGTACACAGCCAGCGAGAGAGAGACGGGGATGGCGGCGGCGCCCAACCTTACACTACACCCCGGCGTCGCTCCGTCCCTCTCGCACCCCTGCGGGACGCCCCGTGAGTGCGAGAGGGACGGAGCGAGGGAGGCTCTTCGGAACGAGCCTGCAGGGGAGCGCGGCGCGGCGCCCGCCCCAGCCAGTGTAATGGCCCCAGCTTCTGTTACACGGACACCCATAATATTAGCCATCCGCCGGGAGCGCCGGGACGCCGGCACTGCAGGTCACGCAGGAAGCGGATGCCGGCGGAACTTCGACATCTTGTCAGGCAGTTTCTTTCATTTTAATTTTGCAATTTTGATTAAGTACAGCTAGAACCCGAACGAGCTGCACCCAGAGAGAGGCCACGCGGTCCAGCCAGTGGGAAGCAACGCTGCCTGGCATTTCATTTGATGGCATTTGATGAAAGTTGGAAGTGAAGGGCAGGGCTGTGTTGCTTCGAGACGGCCTGTGCGGCCTGTCCGCTGTACAGTCGGATACACATGGACGAGCACCTCGAGCAGCGGGTGCGGGTGCGGGCTGCGGGCGGCCTGGGCGCCACCCCAGCACCCCTACCCTTGCTCCCACCCCTCCCACCCCTCCCACCCCTCCCACCCCTCTCACCCCTTCGCCGGCACCCACCCACCCCTCCTACCCTCCCACCCGAGGCAGCAGCACCACCACCCCACCCTCCTCACCCCGTGTCCTTCCATTTCTGCTGCAATGGGGGAAAAAAGTACAGTGGTTGGAAAAAGTGAGTCGAAGAGCCCACTGCGCTCCTTGTGAAATAATGCACCTGAATTAAATGCAGGAGTCATCGCCGTCACTGATTATTCAAGAGAATAAATTGAGAAAGATGGACATTGGTATTTAAAATCTGAACCTAACGCAGGGATGGAGTAAGATTATGCTGAGAAGTAGTATGAGTAGCAATAAAACCCATTTAAGCAAATGGATTTCATACGAAAGTTTCAAGCATTTTAAAAAACATCATAACAGTTTAGGTAGCTTTGTAATCAAACAATCTGTGATAAAGAAGCAGTAACATGTCTTGCAAACATCTCAAACCATCAAAAACTAAATTAAAAGGCTGATCCATCAATGAATGAAATAATGTAAACAAAGGCAAGTTACTAGATACTTATATTTTTTCATTACAAACAATCATAACAGAGTTATATAAAAAAAGACAGAACTTCAAATATTCTAATAATCTACAATTAATATCAGAAATATTAACTAATAAGCCTCAAAATTGATGAAACGTGTAGAGATGTGGGCACAATTAATACAAATCAACAACCTCATTTTATTTTCTTATACTAAATAAAACTGGGCAAGACAATCATTGAAGTAAGGAGACGATGGAAGTGATACTCCTTATTAGCAGACGCAAGTAGTGTCAACTATAAAATAGAGTATTTTGTTCCGAACTAGTGAATGTAATTATCTGGTTGGTTGTAAACACTCACCGTCTTTGGACTTGGCGTCCGATTGAGACTTCTTGTCCACTTGTCCAAACATATTCGCGGTCACATTCACTAACACAAGTGTCCCATTCAATATTAATTCATGTAACGGCGAGATTCATTTCGGTAAATAAATAAATCACTGAAAGAAAGCGAGCACGGCACACACTTGCGGAACACCGAGCGCCATACTGAATGTTTCGTTCAAGTTCCGCGCGGTGGCAGCACCTGTCTCAGCCACAGCCTTGTGTAGGGAATGAAACGAACTTCTCTTTCTCTCAGCAGCAAAGCCAAGCAGACGATTCTAACCACGTGTGCCAATATTTAAACTATGTATGTTACGAATTCTTATTTTGAACTCATAATTCGGGGTTATTATATGTTTAAGATAAGTGTTTGGCCGAGGCAGTCTTATTGACAGCTTGAGAAAATGATGTCAGCTGAAACAGCGATGACCTCTGATGTTGGAGCAGTTGAATCGGGTAATGAATCTCATACGAAACTTTGTGATTATTTATTGGAATTTGAATACAATTGATCCTACTCGTCTAAGACTTGTAAGACAGACACTCAGAATTTCAAATTTAGCTCAGAGTTAAAAGGACGAAACATGTTTTCTTTGGTACATCGATTTCAAGATGCTTGAAAGTTATTCATACGCAGAAAGAATGAAAGCCTCACTTAAAGAAACCTCGTGACAGTGAATCTTAACTTTAATGTAATGTTTCTGCCTTCCAGGCTAATTCACTGCAACCTGGTTTGGTGTGTTGTGTATTCTATCAACAGAGGAATCATCTGTTGGCCTTAAACGTACTAGTTCTCTTTTCTCGGGCAGTGTCATATGGCACCGTTAACCACTAACAATTTAGATTTTTGAAGGAAAGTAATTTAATTTAATGAAATGCATCAGTTTCCCTATATCTACTTGATAGAACTTACAGAGTAAGTGAAGTTTTTCTCTTGACACACTCTAGAAGTGCAAAGTGGGACCTACCCTCAAGCAATGTCACAAATTTAAATTGTTAAGTCTACCTTCATTTGTAAATCACTTTACTGGCCAGATTTTGCAATTTGCCAACCTACTTTGATTGAAACAAGCTCTTGTATGTTCTTGGTTTTCTTTAGTGGAACAGCCAAATGAGATAACAAATCATTGGCTCTATACTATAATTGTACAGGATTTAAACACCTGATGTAGTACTGATAGTCCTGGGGCTTTTCAGTCTTGAGGAAAGATGATATTGGCATATAGCTCATGTAATGTTGCTATAAAAGTTATCCTTGATTTGTTTCCACTGGTGTATGGTAACCCTTCAACAGCTAATTTAACAAATTACTCTTACCACTTACTTTAAATATTAATTTTATAAGAAAATTCTTACATCAACAATATGGACTATACAACAACTTTAATACATCAACTCCTGCCGACTTCAAAAATTACTATAGGTACAATAAGTTAGGTATGACTAGACCATTGTAACAGAGTTACTTAGAACAGGACATCTTATTACAACACATTATTAAAACATCTACATCAAATCAAAACAAGAAAATGTGATAGAGAAAGAAATTAGATATTATCATTCTGTCTAGTTCAGGATATTAGTGTAATTCTCTAACTTTGAAAGCCACGTTTAACAGTAATACATAATAATCCACAGGAATGAAAAAAAAAACAGGTTTTTCATCCATTTATTTTCTGGTATTATGACCTTGCCACTGGCAGTTAAAAATATGGAGAAATAAGTCTTGAAGGCAGGTTTTGAGCTCACCCACAGAAATGCAAGGAAGGAATGTGAGAGTAATTATTGGAAGATTCACTTTGTGTGTATTGCAGCTCTTATTTCTTGTCAAAGTGTTCCAATCAGTAAAGATACTTTTCACATACGCACACATACACATGCACACACAGTAAGAAGGAAGCATGTTAAAACAGACCTTCAAATTTTTTTTCTATTTCACTTTAGCTTCCAAAATCCATTTCTCAAATTTACTTTCTTTCAACTTTATGATATGAAGATGAAATAGTATCAAGAAAGAAGGATGAGGACGGACGAGAGACACTTATTTTTTTTATAAAAAGACTAAAACATGTCTCTATTTTTTAACACAAATGACTCCACAACTCAAAGCCTCTTCCTTAAAAATTGGTTGTCCATTTAACTGAGGCAACTGAATTTTACAAGCTGGCAGTATCCAATTTTGTCAAGGACTTCATCACTATGCCCTTCAAAAATCAATTGCCATAAGGACTAGTATCTCTCAATATCTCGCTAGTTCCTACTGTTCTTCATCATCCATTAGTGTTTTTAAAAAGTCTTGATACTCATCTTCATCAAGAAAATCATCATCTTCCTCACTTTCTTCTGTCAGTTCAATACTTCTTCGCCGTCTTCTGTATAGATTTGGATTTACAGCTTCTATGCACAGAACAGCAAACCGATGATTGCAAGTAAACCGTTCTTGAGCTAGAAGCTTCCCTCTTAATAGTGATGATGCAAGTCCAACTTTGTCAGAACTGTCTGAATGCCAAGAATCACAATATGCATCCATTGCACGCTCACCCAACATGTGAGCCCCATGCCATACAACTTTCTCAGGCCTAAAAATAATAATAAAATATTAAAATTTATAAAATACCTTTCCCTGTTGCAGTCTCAGTTTGCAATTTAGTTTGCAAGAAGTGACTCACCAGGCAAAATCATTCAAAATGTCTCTTCCATTGAAACTATAAATTTTGTGCTGCTGCGGAAGGAATCCTCCCTTCCCAGCAAATAATTCTTTCCATGATTTAAAAAGAACGTCACCCTGAAAAAAAATTAAAGCATTATATTTAGAGAAAATATGAAGTTATCAAACAGGTTGGCTGTGATCAAAAATATTATCTCACCCTTGTATTTATCACTGGAAGATTCCTATCAGCAGGGCGAACAATCGAATCAAGATCTTGAACTCGAGACGAAATAAAAGCTCTGAATGTACCACGCATGTTGGCTCTCTGGGCTTGTCGGTAACACGCATGGTCTGCACCTCGAACTCCATGCATGTCTCCAGAATAAGGTTCATTCAGTGCAGCCATCCGTAACTGAAAGACAGATGCATAAAAATAATGAACACATGTTCTCACTTAGTGAAATATTTCAACACACAAACATAGCAGTATTGTAGGTCCATTATCACAGTAACTTACCATTGTCGGAAACTAATGAATGCATGCACAAAGAGACAAAGACATTAAAGATAAAGGAAACAGAAGATTAGAGACAGAAAAGACTTCAGGATATTTTGAGTTATACAATGTTTCTTGGTGTACTTACAGCAGGCTGGTCTGCTGCCATGTAGTAAGTATTGACAAGATTTGAAGATTCCAATGGAGGAGGTCTCACATGTGGATGGTAGGTTGTTGGTGGTGGGGGTGTGGTGACATCCAACACAGATCCAAGCTGTCATAAAAACAAAGTCAATTTTACCCCCAGATTGTTGATTTATTTTTCCTTACAGTATTAAATATATTGTACTTACTGCAACATACTGCCACCCTTTGTTGACCCGTACTAGTAAAGCTTCCTCATCAATGATGTATGCTAAAGTGCCTACTGCTGTTTCTGCAGACCTCTGGAAATCCCACAAAAAGTTAATTAAGGTCAAATTGTAAATATTCCATCACTCATAACATTTCCCTTGTGTATGCTTACACTCGTCATGGCCTCCTTATTTTGGTAAGTCACAGCACCAGGAACAATTCTGGTTGACTTTTCATATACGGTAGAAGTTGGTGAACTGTAGCCTAAGAGAAAAAACAAAAAAAAAGTAATTTAATAAACAATAAAATTTGGTTTATTCTGCAATGTGTTATTTATTTTTTTCAAAAGGAAAAAAAATTGAACCTCTGTAAGATGTACCTGAATCTCTGTTTCTAATGTCCTTCATAGCTTTGTTGAGCTCTTCAATGCCTCCCCTAGAACCCGGCCTTGAATGTGTTTGCTCTCCTCCGAAAACGGAGCCACGACCTTCAGACTGGATAGGAAAGTAGCATTTAGTTTAGTCATCGAAGAAAATCATAAAACACTCGCTTGAACTTTTTTTTTAAGGAAACACTTACTGATGCAGGAGGTCCGGGAGGACCAGGTGGGCCAGGCGGCCCTGGCACAGGCATGTACTTGACTTCAGAAGGAGGCCCTGGAGGTCCTGGAGGACCGCTTGCACCTGGGGGTCCAGGAGGCCCCATTGGTCCAGGCAATCCTGGTTCTCCACGAACCTGACATCACAAATCAAAAGGAGCTTGTTACACACAATCCCAATATGAAATTTCCCCCAAATAATAATTTCAACCAAGTTGCAGATGTAAGAGTGAGGTGATGTTTAACAGAAAGAAAGAGAGGGGAGGGGGAGATTTCAGGGAGGCTGTATTTGCATGCTGCAGAGTTGTTAGTTTCATTGTTGAGGTTGATTAATGTCGAGAAAAGTAGAAGTGACGCTTGACTGTAAGCACGGCCCACTTGGACCAGTTTGACAGTTATACCCGAGGCCGGTGGGGGTGGGGTATTAACCCAGGTTCTCCCTTCTGCCCTTTTGGGCCTTCGAATCCGAGACCCGGCATTCCCGCACGTCCCGGGCGGCCCGGCAGTCCCTGCAGACAAAGCACAGCAACACGACTCCCTACATTAAAACGCCCTCAGCAGCGCCTGCTTTCCTCTTACCTTGCTTCCGCCCTTTGGGAGCAGCAATTAAACAGAGAAATTGTGGACATCAATAAAACACCAATTTGTGTAAGGTAATGTCAACTTATAAAAAGAGATTGAATAAACTGAAAAATAACGACTGGTTCATGGCCCCACCTGCCAGCCGGGAAGGCCCATCTCTCCCGAGGTGCCATCTTTTCCAGGAGGGCCGGGCAGGCCTGGCTTGCCGCGGCGCCCCCTCTTGCCGGAGTCGCCCTTGTCGCCCTGGAAACGAGAAACGAAGGCGAGGTCGACGTCAAAGTCGCATTAATCCGACATTGTAAACACATTTGAAGCGCACCAGCCTGGCCGTGGGCGGCTCAGGCTCAACGACCTACCTTGACCACGTTCACCTCGCCGTCCACGGTGACGACGGGCCCGGGCAGGCCGCGCTCGCCCCTCTCGCCCCGGTCGCCCCGCAGCCCCGGCGGCCCCACCGGCCCAGGAGTGCCTGACTCGCCCTTCTCGCCGGCCGGGCCCTGGATCAAAGGAAGAGCAGCACGTCAACAAGGCCGTCCGCCTCGCCGTGGAGCAGCGCCTCGCTCAGACTGTACTGTACCTGCACGCCGTTCAGGCCCGGGATGCCCGCCGGCCCGCGCTCGCCCGAGTCGCCCTTCTCGCCCTTGATGCCCTGGTCGCCCTTCTCGCCCTGCGGCCCGGGCAGCGACGAAGTCTCCCCTGCAACGTGAAGCAAAGCATTAAGGGGGCCGCTCCGCCGGGGGTTGGCAAGGCGAGCTTCGCGCCACTCACCCAGCACCATGGGGCCGCCGCCAAGGAACTTGGCCTCCTCCGGGTTGAACACGGCGACGCCGGGCGGGCCTGGCGGGCCGGGCGCTCCGACCGTGCCCGGGTCCCCCTTGTCGCCCTTGGAGCCGGGCCGGCCGTTGTCACCCGGGACTCCGGGCTGGCCGTCGACGCCCGGGGACCCTGGCTCGCCCTTGAAGCCCTGCGGCCCGTGCGGGCCCTGGTGGCCGCGGTCGCCCTTGGCGCCCCTGGCGCCCGCCTCGCCGCGCTCGCCCTTGGAGCCCTGCACGCCTCGCTCGCCCTTCGCGCCGGGGTGGCCCGCCGCGCCCGTCTCGCCCTTGGGGCCCGGGCTGCCCGGCCGGCCCATGTTGGCGCCGTAGCCGCCGCCCAGCACCGAGTCCTGCAAGCAGAGCAAGCGTCAGCGCGTCAGGCCGGCAGGCCGTCAGCCTGCAGCGTAGGCAACGCGACGGCAGCCGAGCGCACCGGGTTGCCTATGCCGAGCTGCCGGGCGCTCCGTCAAGCTACCGGAAGTGCGACTCCACACTCGCATACCTTGAGCACGGAGCGGGAGTTCCAGTTGGGCTGCGCGAGACAGCGTGAAACCGAACAGAGACAGAGTTAGTGAGGCGGGAAAGGAAAGGTTAGAGGAAGGAGCAAAGTACCAGTGGCGTGGCGGTGGCGGTCGCCGCACCGTACTCACATCATACGCGGCGGGCTCGCTGGTCCCCGGAGGCCCGGGCGGCCCCGGAGCCCCCGGAATGCCGGGTGTGCCGTCGCGTCCGGGATCGCCTGCAAATTAACCGCATGGCGAAGCTGTAGAATGTAGTCAGTAAAGTCGCAAGCACCAAAGGGCCGAAGCCGGACTTCGGCAGTGTACCTTTCTGGCCCTGGATGCCCTCCGGCCCCGTCGCTCCGATGTCACCGCGTTCGCCCTTGTCCCCTCGCGGTCCAGGGGCTCCTCTTTCTCCGGGAGGTCCAGGCAGGCCCTGCAAAAAATCCAATTTTAAATATCCTTTCTTCTCCTTTTTGGGCAGAAATAAATTACTACGCACCGAGACTCCAGGGATTCCAGGTGCGCCGTCGATGCCAGCTTGTCCGGGAGGTCCTGGAATGAGGTCCAGGTTCATGGATCCCAGGACGTTGGTGAGGTTGCAGGAACAGGTGCCGGGAGGGCCCTGCGGTCCCTGAGGGCCTACTCCCGCTCCAAACATCTGAAATGGAAATATTTTTTAAAATTTCAACTTTGCGTTGGTGAGTTTTTCCTTCCGCTTCCAATGAATTTTAGAACGTCACATCCGGAGCGAGTCATGTCTTTTACCTGATTTGGTCTGTAGCCACGCTAGCAGCACAAAATGTAATTGAAATAGCAGTTAGCAGAATTATTCGACTGGGGACAGCGGCGCCCAAAGATGGCGCTATTCGACTCACCCCTTCGTCCGTTGGGAAGGCGTCCCCACTGCCGTAGAACGCCCCAGGGGGCCCGGGGGGGCCCGGCGGTCCTGGGGGGCCTCGGATCGACTCTCCTGGAGGACCCTGCGCAGAAACATCGGGGTAACAAAACCGATTGGCGAGAGACTCTGTACGCGAGCCTGGACAAGACTTACCCGGAGACCACGGTCACCCTTGTCCCCTTTCAGGCCGCGAATCCCGCCGAAGTCTGCAAGTGAAATGAACACAGTTTAAAAACGCGGCCAGTTTGAGGCCCTTCTGGGGCTCTGCGTCGCTCTGCGTTGTCCTCGCTGTCCTTACCGTCGGGGCCTGGCGGTGGCGGCGGGAACGGAGGCATGCCGCCGTGCTCCTTCCCCTCGCCCGTCTCCTGGTCCACCTGCAACAGCAGCACGGCGTCAGTGCGTCAGGCGGCGCTACTCCGCGCGCCGCGCGGCCATACCCCGCGCACCAAACTCGGGGGGTATCGCCGCAGGGGCGGAAGAGAGCCTGCAGCGACAGCGGGACTCTCAGCTGCTGCAAGCCGAACCCCGAAGAGGAAAGCTGATCAGTTGGCCTCTGAAGCATTAGTAAGAGAAAAGCACTTCCACACACAAAACTCACGGAAGTCCGAGCTCCCCCGCAGCCGCATGCAAAATGACTGACAGCTGGAAAGAGAGAGCGTGAATTGTTTAGCACATGGAAGAGGCATGCGGTTGGAGCGGCATCGCGCTGACCCGATTCCATCAACATTTGGTTAGAGAACGGAGCGAGGCAGACCCAGCACCGCCGGACCTGGAACACGCGGGCACACTTACGAGGTTGTCGGTCAGCAGGATGGCATTCCCCGTGAGCAGCGCGTCGTCGCCGCCCCCGCTGGCCTCGAAGTCCTGCAAACAAACACACTGACTGGCGGCGTCCTGGCCGTCGCCTCGGCGGGGCGCACCCCGCGTGCAGGCGGTGCAGGCCGCGGCGCGGAAGTGCTGTACAAGTGGGGCAACTACTCGCGGCGGAGAGTGCGCGCCGACCCTCGACGCCGCCGCCCTTTGGCGGAGAGCGGCGGGGTAAACGGCGCACTGCCGAGGCGTTGCGGTGCAAGCAGTCGACCTGGATGCCCGGGGGCACGCCAAGCCGTGCGTAAGCGCGGCGGGGGAACGCGGGGGAGGCAAGCAGGCGGGGGCTCTAAGTGCTTGGCGGGCATTGACGGCTCCATCCACGACGATGGCGCCTTGTCCGCGCACCCAGGACTCCCCCAGGTGGGGCGTCGGCGCGTCGCCACGCGCAGACACGCCGCGTATTCACAGTCCAATAAATATGCGTTGCAAATGGATGTGCGAGACGAGCGGTGGCGCTGCGGCCTGCGCGGCCGGGTTGCCGGGAAAGGCCGGGCCGACAGGCTTTGACGACTGCAGAGCAAAGCAAAGCGAAAGCAAAGCGGAAGCAAAGCGAAAGCAAAGCCGCCGCCAAATCGGCGGGGCAGTGGGGACACGCTCGGACGCACGTGGCGGTATATATAGAGGACGACCGCGACCTTTGGGGGTCTGCAGCGTGCCGAGCATGGCGGGCAGGGGCCGGTTTTCCGCCTGCGGTGGACGCCACAGCGCTGCAGCCTGCACTGCGTGGACCCCAAGGACTCCGTGGACTCGGTGACGGCAAGCAGGGTCAGCCCTCACCTCGGCACGGCGGCCTTGGCGCCCCGGCGTTTCCGCACGAAGCGCGGCGCGCGAAGCAGGCGAAGGTAGTGCAGGACAGGCAGGACAGGCGTCACCGCCGAGGCCCGGCCGCCCGGCCGCCCCGCCCCGGAACCGGATACACCCCGCCTGGCTGCGCGGCCGGGCTGCCTGCAGGGAAAGAGCGCGAACTGTCCCGCCTGAATAGCGCTTCCGGCGGGCCGAGCGGGGCAGGCGGGCAGGGAGGCAGCCAGGCAGCCAGGCGGGCAGGGGAGGCGGAAAGGCGGGGATTCACGGCGCCAAATTGAAAGGAAAGCGCGGTGCGAGAAAGTGTGTTTAAAATGGGAGCTTGCGACGCGCGCCAGCCTCACCGGAGGCAGCTCCAGGCGGAAGGGGAGGGGGAACGCTTTCAAGCTGATTGCGCCGCGGACGTCGCGGATACCGGCAGCATGCAGTACAAGTTAAGTCGAGCCGGCGCCGCCCAAAAGCTGGAAAGAGGAGCTTAAGTGGTAAAGTTAATCAGCGGCAGGTGCCGTCGCCGCGTCGCCGCCAAGACCTCCAAGACGGACAGCGCCTGTCGTTGTCCTTCTCCTACTCACGTTCAGGGGCGTCGTCTCGTCCGGCTCGCCCGACCCGCTAAACTGGAAGCACAGCACAGGGGCACGTTATTCAAACCGAAGGCCGAGGGACGGGGACAAACACACGCGGGAGCGAGAGAGACAACACGCCACCCGCTTACCCCCAAATTAACACACCGCGTGAACGCCGCGCGGCCGCCGCGGACGAACTAACAGTGCACCGTCCAAAAACACAAGAACCAAAAAAATAACACCGAAAATTGACTCGATTCCGAACGGAGAGGCCTATGACGGGGTCCGTCATCGTGCAGGGGGTCCCGACGGACCGCTCCTCTGACTCGGCCTTGGTGATGAGGGTGGGCGGGCGGCCCGGCGGTGCCACACACGGAGTGGGGCTTGCCCTGCCCTGCCCTGCTGGCCTGACAGGTGGATCATCAGGCACAATGTTTTCATTAGACCGAGACACGGATGCCTCACGACCCAGTCGGCCGCAGTGATGCGATGATGCGGTCAGGAGCGAGGCGCGCTGGAAGAGCTGGAAGGAGATGACCATCAATAAATCGCCGACTAAGCAGGCCCCGATTCGGAAATTTAATTAACAATTGTTTTAATTGGATTGATCTTTATTCCGACATTAATTTAAGGTGTACAATCCGTCCGTCCGGTAGCGTGCGAGACGCACTTGGAGCCGCGCCTCGGGACAGAGATGCGCGTCGGATAACAACACAATAAGGTGGGAGAGATGGGAGGGGGAGGGGGAGCGACGAAGGGAAAGAAAGATGCAGGGAACCACCGACGTGAACTTTGTGTATCGGCGCGTGTTTACCTGACAAGGCAACGCGAGGCAACGCGCCCTTCCGCGCACCAAACTCATCGTTGGCCCGGTGGCCCGCTGGCCCGGGGCGGGCTGCCGCTGCTGCCGCTGCTGCCGCGGGGCTTTAAGGCGTTGTTTATTCAGGCCCCAAAAGGGAGCGTTAAAAGGGCGGCAAAGGCGAAAGGTGAGGGCAGGGGCCGCGACCGGACCGGGGGCTGCGAGTTCTACGCCGTTAAAAAAGTTTGGCGCGTCAGAACGACGGAAGCAAACAACCTTGGCTCCTTTTACCGACAGTCTGATGATGTTGTTGGAACAAAAGGATGAGCCCTCCCCGTCTCAAATGATTGAGAGGTAATAGGTCATTTTGTTTTGACGAATTCAAAAAAAAAAACTTTTTTTAATTAATTATTCATGGAAGGGAGGAGGTCTGATTTCCCGTTCACCTGCCTCCAGTTCACCAACGGTAAGACGCATGCGCGGGGGGCTCAGCATGAATATTCTCTAAAAACCCTTTAAGACAATGGGCCCGCAATCGCGGTGGGACCTTCACAGGTGTGCCAACCCAGCCGGACAGCCGGCCGGTCGGGGCGTGAAGTCCGGTGCGGGCAAATTACTGGGGCGGCCTGCGGAGCACAGCCTGCACCAGATAAAGCTAACAAGCCAAAGCCCGAAGGTCCACTGAAGTCCACCGAAGGTCCACTGAAGGTCCACCGAAGGTCCACCGAAGGTCTAGCGTCACGAAGCAGCGAGTCACGACGCGCCGCACTGCATTTAAAAGCGGCCGTCACGGGAAATAATAGTCATAACAATAAATACGTGCGTGTGTGTGAGTGTGTGTTTTCGGGGCTGGCAGAGTGTCAAGTCAAGCCAGTCCGTTTTGTATTGTCACCGATCTTTCGTGACGACACACTCTCTCCATCTCGCTTCAGAGAAAGCACACACACACACGGTCCGTCAATCCCAACCTCACACTTTCTTGGCAGCGCAGTAAAGTTTGTTTTTATCGCCGGGCTGTGATGCGACTCGAACAGTAGCGGTGATACCATCGGCGTGGCTTCCCGGAAGGCAGGGCCAGGCCGGGCGCATACCGTCGTGGAGTCGAAGGGCACGGCCAGGCACGGCAGCTGCTGGCCGGCCGGTCGCTCCGTCCCACCGGAGGAATAATCAACCACCCTGGCCGCAAAGCCGCGCGGCAGATCACTCCGCCTCGGCCTCACTCGGCGGTCGGGTCGCGGACCTGGAGGCCTGGAGGCCTGGAGGCCTGGAGGCCTGGAGGCCTGGAGGGCGTGCCTGGATGGATGGCCGCGTCATCGGCGGCCGGCACACGCCTGCATTTGCGGTTCGTACTGGCGGCCACTGCGGCTTCGGGGAGCAGGACCTCGGACAGCGGGGCCTCGGACAGCGGGGCCTCGGACAGCGGGGCCTCGGACAGCGAGCTTAGATCACGCTGGCCCCGGGCCTCGGCGGCAAGGGCCTCGGACAGCCTCGGCCGTCGACGGCGGCGTCGCGGAACGCGATACCCACTTACGGCCCCAATGTGTAAGCGGATACTCATTTATGGCGGCGAGGTGCACGCGCCGCTGCGTGCCGTGCCCCGCGCCACCCGCAGCCCGTCGTGCCGGCGGTGCATCGACCTCGGCCAGGGCGACAGCGCCTAGGCAGCGCCGCGACGACGGAGAACGGACGCACTGTGCGTCGCCACCGCCAGTTCGCTTACCGACGGTACTCATTTCCATGCGCCGGGCCGGGCGGACTGGAGGCAGCGAGCACGGCGTCGACGCGACGACAGCCGCCGGCTTGAGGCTGGAGATGGTCCCGGACGCTGCCCGGCGGCCGGAAGACGACCACTCATGTCCAGACACGCCACGCCTCGCGTTGGCCGCGGCGCCGCGCCCCGGGCAACTAGACCGCCACGTGCCGCCGGGCCAGCGCCCCGGCCCTCGGCGCCTGCCGCGTGGTGTCCGTCCGGTCCGGCCGGCGCCTCTCCCGACTGCCTTGACGGGCACGGTCTATTCCCAGCGCGGGGAAAGGAAACAAATTGACGCGGCGGCGGTTTGAACCCAGATGAGGTCCTCATTGTTTCTGTTATCTCCACCGGGACGGCCTCCTCCTCCCCGTCGCGTCGTCCGGCACCGAGTGGCCCCACCGGACCGGCGGGCCGGGCTGTCCGTCCCCACGCCCCCGCGGCCGCCGAGGTGCCCGTCGAGCCCATTAGCAGCACGCCGTCGGCGGGAAAGGAAGGGAGGGCCGCAATCACTGCTCTCCAAGCTCACTGCTCGGTGCGGGGCGGTAGGGATTCGCTCGTCGCTGTAAAAATAGCCCCCCGCGCCGCGATGTCGACGCCCAAGGGGGGAGCGGCCTTGGTTTGGACCCCCCCCCCGGGGGGGGGGCGACACCTCCCAGACTCCCCCAAAGACCCCCTTCCAGCCCGCCCTCGGAAAAATTTTTCTAAATTTTGACGGGCGGCGTTGGGGTTTCGGCGGGCTGGCCGCCGCCCCGGTTTGATAGTTCAATCAACATTCAATTTCCCCTCTGCAGTCGAGGGTTCAATTCCGATGGTTTTGCAGAGATACAATATAAAAACCAAAAAAGAGCGAATTCAAGAATATGGGTATGATATTGAATAAAAACCGCACCTACGACATCGCCGTCCTCGTCGTCGTCGTCCTCACATTCCGCTTGGTAACTCACGCCGCTCCTCGCGTGCATCCGTGTCGCTCGCGACGGCGACGGATTACAGGCAAGGTGTGTCGGCGGCGGAGGAGAGAGAGGGAGTAAAGAAAGAGGCGAGGGTGGGGGAAGGGAAGGCCCCCGCCGCGCCCCGCCCCGCCCCGCCCCGCCCCGCCCTCCAGTGGGCGGGTCGGTCCCGCACTACACTCAGTTCCGTCAAACCGCCTGGGACACGGCTCCACTTTACGGAGCAGCTTGTGGCGCTGGAGACTGATTCCGAGGGTCGCTTTCGTCGCTCCGTCTCTCTCGCACCCACACGAAACGCCCCATGAGTGCGAGAGAGAGACGAAGACGACTCTCGGAATGAGTCTGCTGGCGCACGCTGGCGCTGCGCGCTCCACTCACTGCCGTGATGTGATTGAGTTTCATGTGAGCCACTGGGACGTCCGGGCCGGGCGGGGCCGCGCCGGGCGGCCATACAAGAGAATGGGGGACACTTTGAGCTCATCCCGCGCCGCGCCGCGCCGCGCCGCGCAAGGCCGCCAGACGGAGACGCCCCCCTTGGACCCAGACGAGACGCGCGCCTTCGTTACTCGAATGCGACTCGCTGCAAACTGATTTCGAGCGCAGTTTTTCCTCGCTCTGTCTCTCTCGCACCCTGCGGGACGCCCCATGAGTGCGAGAGAGAAGGAGAGCCACTGCTTTGGAATGGGCCTGCCGGCCGATCTCGGTCGCTCACAAACGGAGCGGAGCAGCGGGCGGCCCGTCCGGGACCATCCTGAGGAACGCGCAGCGCCGTTGTCGTTACAGGCTTAGCCGCCGCCCCGCCACCGCGGCACACGACGCCAGGGGCACCCTCCATCTAAATAATCCACGCACAAGGAGAGTGGCGACGTGATGGCCGTTAAATTGATAAATAAATTCCCCGTTTTATCCAAACGAATGCGAGCGCGCGGTGAAATGTGTGGGACGGATTTAATAATCCCCACCGGTGCGCGCGCCAGCGTGCCTTACAGCGTCCCGCACGGCCACACGGACAGGGTTTACGAGCACGGCGTCGGCCAGGGCGATAAATTGCTGCTGCAACAAGGGAGGCGGTGCACGGGGAGGACGCTGCTCGACGCGGTGCACCCCGTCGGCCTGGTGATTGGTGCCCGGATCAGATAGCGGCGCGACCGGCGGGGCAGTCCTCACTGAGCCTGTTCGCCACGCGCTCGAGTAGCGGAGTGGCTGGCCCACAGGGGAGAGTTGGTGGCCGTCTGAAAGTCTGGAACCCAATGAATAATGGTACCGAAGGAGGAGTCCATTGGTACCATCACGATCCGCGTCGTATTGAAGGGCGCGTCGGCACCAGTGTAGGGTCCGAGACACCTGAACGAGTGCCGGGCGGTGCGGTGCGGTGCGGGGCCGGCGGGCCGCGAGCGTGCCTGAGAGCAGGGAGAAGGGTGCCGCCCTGCCGAGGGGGACGGGCCGAGCGGAGGGCGAAGGACCCACTACTGATGGCCCGGATAATCCAGCGCCCCGGCGGCGATTCAAACAAGGACTTCCTTGATACATCGGCGCCGCGCGCCCCGCCCCGCCGACGCTCAGGTTCCTCTCCGGCGTGCGCTCGGTGCGCTGCTAACGCTGCTGCTGCAGTGGCGGCGCGTGGGTTGAGCCGAACGAAGGAGGTCCCACCTGGACACTCCCGGACACGAGGGCGCTGCCAAGGGCCGTCGAACTACCGCGCGAGCCACCTAACTCGGCTTCATTCCGGGGAAAGCATCGGCGGTACTTTGCTTCCATCACTCCCGCGGAACTTCCATTCCCGTCCAACTTCCGCTCCGGAGCCCCGGGCAGCAGGCTCAGCCCGACAAACCTAACGTCGTCCTGTCTCTCTCGCACTCGCGGGGCGTCCATGGAGGTGCGAGAGAGCCATCTAGAGGAGAGACCCCATGGCCAGCTCAGCCGGTCGGTCACTGGGGCGCTCATGACGGCCTGGTGATTCATGGCAGTGCCCCGAGCTCATTGTTTCCTACGGCATGATGTTCGGAGGTTCGGGACGGAAACCTCTCGGCCGGCCGGTCGGGCCTTTCGAGGACTCACTTTGCGAGTACACTGCAGTACTGCATGCAGCGCACCGGCCAAGATGTTACCCGAGGGCGTGTCCGTTTGCCTTCCAAGAAAGCTCGCGTGGGTGCGGCTGGGCTGCCCGGCCCGGCCAGCCCGGTCCAGCACACCAAACACGACTCTGTCAAGGCACGGCGGGCCTTTGTCACCTCCAGGATGACGGACCGACCGACCGCTATCTGGACCGACCCAAACCAGCGGCTTTCTCTCTCGCACCCCTAAGCGGCGCCCGGGAGTGCGAGAGAGGCGGGAAGGCGACACAGCACACCAAGAGCGACAGCGCTGTCCGGAATCAGCCTCGGAGCGATGCAGCAGTGCAGTGGAGTGAGCCGTCTTCGCCAAATAAGCCCTCCGAAATGAGATGGCAACTCGGCCGGCGACTTATTGTGCGCTAGCGGCTGTTCTTTTCCGTTGCCGCCGGCGGCGCAGGCAGACGGCCGCGCAACAGTTGGCACCAACAAGCGAAGGGAGAGGGGCGGGGCGGGGGCGCGGCGCGGCGGGGCGGATTCAAACGGACAACTTCCAATGGAGTTTCTTCCCAATAAATAACAAGCAAAAGTGGCTCCGGCTGGAAAAAAAATGACTCGGATTCACACTCGCGTGGGTCGGCCCCCCGCGAGTCAACCCCCAACCCTTTCGCTGTGGGGAAACAAATGTCAAACTGAAAGCTAGAAACACGACAACACGAATCTAGAGGTGGGGCGGGGCGGTCGTCAAAAGGACCGCCTCCCTTTGGGGCTCGACAAGGACGCGCGTGTCGGCCGCGGGGGGCAAGGCTCACGAGGCCGCACACCGATTCGCTCTGTCTCCCTCGCACTCGTGGGGCGTCCCATGGAGGTGCGAGAGAGACACAGACAGCGACTCTCAGTCAGGCAGTGTAGGCGAGGCGGCCACGCGGAAGCAGCACGGCGGTCGGAAAGAGAATGGCGGACTCCGAAAAAAAAAGAGGGAGCGATAGAAGACAAAGGGAAAATAGAGAAACGCGACACAAAGATGCCAAATTTTTGGTTTGATTCCGTGTTGGCTCGGCTCCCGTGATCAATAACGTGTGCGGGGTGTATAATGGCACCCTGATCGGCATGGAGGCCGGGTGGGAACCCTAGGGAACCACGGAGACAATACTCGCTCATTTGCACCTGGACACATCTCAAAGGGAGGGGGGGGGGAGGGCGCGCGCAGCGATTGGCGCTCCGTGCCTATCCGCGCCGCCGACGCAGGGCCGCCCGGCCTGGCAGCTGTCAGCGTGCGTAAGTATACATTGATTTCCAAATTATTTGTTCCTCGTCGTGTTTCCGACCGGCGACAGTGAGAAGGAAGGGAGGCGGGGAACACGCAAACCAACAAAACGAAAAACAAAATAAAAAGCGTCATCAATGGAAAGAAGGTGCGCGTCGAGCAGGAGGATTTCCCTGTCTCAACCGAAGGGCTTTCTGTGTGCAGAGCTGCCTGTGGCTGCCTGTACAGGACAGGCGGCACGCGGAACGCGGCACTTCGGCACACACGGATAATTGGAGGGATTGCGGGGCTGCAGACTGGTTCCGACAGTCTCTCTCGCACCTATGCGGAACGCCCCATGAGTGCGAGAGAGACGGAGCGACGAAAGCGACTCTCGGAATCCTGGTGGGATGGCGGTGTCCTCAAAGACGCGTCCTCACAGTGGCGTTGCCTCCCCGCGCCGCCGTTCAAACCCTCTTTGTTTTACTCTCATCCGCGGCGCGCGTCCACTGCAAATCAGAGAAGCCTCGGCATCGCGCAGCCCCGGGCCCTGCCCTGACAGTGTGGGACCTCGCCTCGCCACACAGGAGTCGGGTTTTACAACACTTCCGCCTCTTCGCCCTCTCGCGGCTCCGGATTCAAGGCTGGACGTGTAGAGGAAGATGTAAAGGGGCCCGCGGGGCGGAGGGGGGAGGGGGCAGCAACACGGTGCGTAACAACCAGTAACAACAGTACTTTGTGGCGCAAAGAGAGGGCCAAGGGCCGAAGGGCCACAACATGCATGCGAATGTGGGGCCAACATTGTAGGGCCACGCCCCGCCACGCCCCGCACGGCCAGCGGCAGGACACGGCACGGCGCGGACCCCTGCGCGACACGGTCGGTCCGGCCCGCTTGTTGGTGCGGGTGAATTGTGGCCAAAGCAGAGCAACAGTGCAGCAGGGCCTGAACCAGCTGTAAAACGCCCCGCCCCGCTGCTCCGCGCCACAGGCTGCGCGCTGCGCCCCGCCGCGGTCCTGGTCCTCCAGGACCTCGTCCAGGACGGCCATCGGGCTGGCTGCATGGGGCACTCACTACACCGCCGCCGTGCCGCCGCCGCTGCCCACGGCCTCGTAAAAGCCGTCAAACAGAGTCTCGGCCTGAAATACGGCCGCCGGGCCCGCCAGGAGGCACGGACCTCAAATTGGCCATCGCTCAGGATGCGCGGTGCGTTACCCGTCCAGGTCGTACGCGTGGGGGCACGGCGCCCAGAGCACCGCGTCGTGAGCACCGCGTCCACGACGACGTCCAGCAGCACTGCCGCCGGGGGCCTCGAGGTTTGGATGCTGTGGCCGTCCGGGACCGCGGGCCTCCAGATTCTCAATTTCTGGAGCAGGTAGGTCTGCTCCAGTTTTGGAGCGGACTGTACCGCAGTCCTCGCGGGGCATGGGGGCAGCTGGTTAGCGCGGACTGTACGGCTGTCCGGGCTGCGGGGCACGGGGCGAGGCACGGGGCGTGGCGGGCGCGGCGCCCGCCCGGCCGGACCGCAGGGACTTCCCCCGTGACCTAAATAGCCCTCTGATTACGCGCACTTGTGTGGGACAAGTGGCGCGACGCGCCGACGGGGCGGTGACGGCCGTCGCTCCCTCTCGCACTCACGGGGCGGGTAGGTGCGGGAGGGACGGCGACGCAGTGGCGGGAATCGGTCCACGGGACGGGGTGCATCCGAGTGGCGCGAAACAAGGACAGGGCCGCCGAATAGCGCACTCGACTAACGAACGGGGTTCGCGGTTAGGTTCGCGGTTCGCACGCCACTTCCTGAGAGCGGCGATGCATTATTCAAGGGCTCACCGCCCACTTTTTGACAGATCGGCGGGAAAACCCGCGAGCCGTTTGGGGGACCGCCGCGCATTACCCTGCAAAACACACACCGCGCAAATCACACGTCATTACGCTGCAAACGAGGAGACAAGCTGGAGGAGCAGACCACCGGGCAGTACACTGTACACTGGCAATCGAGCGCGCCGATCTGCAACGAGGTCTTCTTTCCTCAACAAGGTCTTCTTTCCTCGATACGAGGGGGGAAATGATGCCACCGATTATGACGGGAGAAATTGGCGTGCACGGGGGGCACTTGGCGAGGCTGCAAAAAGGAGAGACCACACACCAGCGACGCCACAGCGACGCGCGAATCGGGACCAGGGTGCTTCAGCCGCCCCGGGCGACGCGCGATCTGCCATTGTCGCTCCATGAGCAGGAACACTGACACTCCGCGAGTGGCGGGCAAAAGACAGAAACAACGACTACGGTGCACACGAACAGAGCGATTCGGGGGAAACGAAACGTTTGGAACACTTGCTACGAACGGCACAGCGACAAGTGCTGTGCCCTACATTCTACTGCTAACTAAACCGGGACAGGGGTCCCAAAATATTTGATCAAAAAATCAGCCTTGTTTTTAAAACAGAAGCAAACTTTGAAAATTTTAAAAGGCGACTTACAGTTAAAAATACAGCGTGCATACATTACCTGGTGGTGGTTGTCGCAGGAGACCTCCGCCACGCCGGGCAGTCCGTACAGCTTGAGCTCCTGGAGCGAGCCCTTGCAAAACAGAACGATCCACAGGGTGAGCCAGTGGCGCGCCACCACCATGGTGCGGGCGTGCGCGTGCGTGCGTGTGTGTGCCGAGTCGCACTGCTGCGGGCAAGGGGCTCCGGGGACGCATCGTCAGTCGCTCAGTCTCGTCCGCTGTCCGGCTGCGGGGAGGGGGCAAAATCAACACGCCTGCCCACTGTCTGGGAAGCCCAAGTCGCATAGCGGTCAAGTTCGAAGTGGTGTCGTCTTTCGCAAAATCGCAGCTCTGTCATTTCTCCTGTTACTTTCCGCAGACACCCATTCCATTCCATTCCATTCCATTCGGACCGACGCGTTTCTCATCGCCCTAAAAGCTGCATTTTGCAGTGCAGTTTGCCGTTCAGGATGGACAAAGAGATTAGCGGACGGGCGGTGCTTTCGACTCGCATATCAGCGCGATTATCATACCGCGGTCACACCAGCCGGACCGGCCGGACGGTTGGACCGCCCGAAACCAGGCCACGTTAATGCGCTATGAATGCGTCGTCGCCTGCCTGCTAGTGCACTGTCATTACTTTCCCACCGGGGAAAAGACACAACGAAATGGAAATCAATAATGGTTTTCGATTTTGATTTTTCTTTGAAAGTGCAGTTGCAAGACTGCGACGCGGGAGGTTTTTTCTTTTCTTTTTTTTTCAGGGTCTGGCCAAGCACCGATAAAAAACGAGTCGCTTTAAATGATGGTGGCCCCGGAAAGAGAAACCGCGTCATAAAAGCGACGATTCCAGAATTAGGCAATGGAATAGAATAAAGATACGCGGGCGGCGGTGCGGCGGGGCGGGGCGCGAGTGCGGCGACGACCAGGGAATGCTCTCCGAGTCCATCAAGCACCTGCAGCGGCCGCCGGGAGCGGCAAGGTGGCCGACGGCGCCGGAGAAGGGCAAGCAGGGCTCGAAGCAGAACTGAGACCCTGTGGCCCGATTGGCGCGGCCGAGACCGCGGGTCGCGGGCCGGGCTCTGCCGCGAATACGCAAAGTTGGCCGCCGAGGCGCGAGGGCCGCGAGGCGCACCGAGCCGCGTCCCCGCGGAATATAAAACGAACGCCAATATTTAGCAGCCCCGCTCGCTGGAACCGAACCGTCGTCAGCCAGCGCGGCGAGCACGTCGTCGACACCGTGCTGCTGCAGCGAGGCGGCCAGGGCGGCGAGGGGGCGGCAACGGGCGGGTCTCGGTGCCGGGAGGCGTCGGCATCGATTAAAACCGGGAATACGATGAGTACCTGCCCGCCCGGAGCCAGGGGGAGAGAGAGAGATGGGAGAGGGGCCACCCACGACCGGTCCGCGCTCGCCCCGCCGAGGCCCCGCGCCAGGCCGTGCCTTGCCCTTGGCGCCCGTGGCCGCGACAGCGAGAGAAGAGCCGTGCACTTATCACGTAACACGTCCCCAGCTGGCGGTGCGGTGCGGCGTTACCGCACTGTGATAAACTCGACGGCGATGGCTTTACGACGCGCTAGCGTTTCACGGCAGATTCGAATCGTCGCGGCGACTGATCAACGCTTTCCAATAGGCCGTTCGGCTCGGCCCGGCTTGGCTCGGCCCAGCGGGGTGCCGCGGTGATGCGCTAGGCGCTCGGACCCTCTGACAGGGAGTGGAGGGTCTCCCGGTCGGTTCGAACCTCCCGCCTTTGATTTATCGGGCCGGGCAGAGACAACGGCATAGCGCGCGTGCCGCGCGCCGGAAGACCGGGTTGCCATGGTTACAGCGTCCAGGTAATCCGGAATGCACGTGGGCCAATGCACAGAGACATAGGCCCTGGTCAGCCAGCGCACAGGAACTTCCGGTAAATGGATCGTTGCGAGAAACAGTCGGCGTGATACGCATCAAGTCAAGTCCAGTCAGAGATTCGACCAGCTAAGTGCCGCCTTGCGCTGCATGCCCCCCGCGCCACCCTAGGCGACGAACCCCTGTCATTCTTGTGCAGGCCGCTGCTTCGCGGCTTGTGGGCGCGTCGCCCGGGGGGCCGCGGGGGCCCCGTGATTGGTGTGGGGCCTTCCTTGCGTAAGCACTGGGGCGTCGAGACGCCGGCACGCACCGCCGTGGTAATTACGGACGTGCGGTATCAACGAAAAAACAAAAACAAAAGTCAATGAGAATTTTTTTCTTGGGGTGGAATAGAATCTTTTTATAACTTAATTTCCCTTGTCGTTGTCGACCGACCGCTCCTCCGCCATTGACGGAATCCATTGCCCCGGCGGGAGGCGCCCGTTCGAGCCGCGCAGCGAGGGTGTCTCAGAACGGCGTCTCCGTCTCTCTCGCACCCTTGCGGGGCGCCCGATGAGTGGGAGGGAGACGGCGATGGAATCAGCCTGTACAGTGTAGGCCCTACGCGGCGCCCACGAGCAGCACGACGACCTGAAAGCGCGCTCGACGCGGGGACACGGCACACGCCGCGCGCACGCCGACACGGTCGTAAAGACGTAGAGACGCCCTTTCCTTTGCCCTGCAGTGTGGCGGCGACGCGGCCCGCGTCCCGAAGACGTATACCGCCCTTAATTACAAGGCCGACAATGCCAAATTAATAAAACGGCACACAACGCGCCGCATTTTTCACCGGCCGCCGTTCGGCCCGGCGGCAGACTCTGTCTCTCTCGCACTCGCGCGGCGTCCCGTACAGGTGCGAGAGAGACGGAGCGACTCTCGGAATCGGTCTGGCCGCCGAGCCAAAGCGGCCGCCGGCACGGCACGGCACGGCACCCACTCGGAGGGACATTCCGAGCCGAGCCGGGAATAATGAAGGGCCGAAGGGAGCGGAGGTCGCACCTGAAGGAGGCAAGGGCGCCGCAGGGACCGGCAGGGCGACGGCCAGCCCTGCAGCCAGCCAGCCAGCCAGCCAGGCAGGCAGGCAGGCAGCGCGGGCGGACAGAAGCCGTGTCCGAGTCGTCAAGAGGGTTAACGCCCATGGAATTTGTCAGCGGCTCAATTGTGGTGCTGTCAAGTCACGACACAACGCTGCGGTCCATATATCACACGCCAGAGAGTCCGGCCGAGGTGGAGGGGGAGGGGGAGGGGGAGGCTGTGTGGCTTTTGGCACGTGGCGCCGCGCGACTTTAGCTCGGCCGCTCATTTTAGAGAGATTAGCCGCCTGCATAATCCAGGGCGTCTGCTGGGACAACTTCCGGTGGCTGTCAATACCGCCCAGGCGCTGTTACGTGATAAATGCATGGCGAGAGAGGCGGCCGCGACAAGGGCAAGCGGCTGGGCATTGTCGGTGAAGCCTTACGACCAAATCGTACTTATTACTCATTCAAAGCCTAAAATTATGGAAACAAATATTTCGGTACTGATAGAGGCGACCTGCTTCGCTCCGCGGTTCGAAGTGTTCCCCAAAGCCCACTCCACTCCGCCGCGGGGAGTGGGAAAATCCCGCGGAAGACCCACAGCGCGACGTCGAAGGCACAAACACATTCGCGGTAAGCGGTATGTAAATTGGCGAAAGATGCGAAATCCCACGGAATAATTCGCGTTGGTAAAGGGCCAACCCACGCCAAGGCGGCGCTGCGGACTCCGCTACTGTTCCCCCGGCCCGTCTACCCGACCGAAGATAAAAGAGGAAAAATTGCAACGAAAAACAAAAATTCGCGACATCGTCGCCAGGCCCCGCTTCAACGATTTCCCGCAGCCGCGTCTCGCGCAACGAGTCCGAGGCCGGGTACACGCAAACACCCAGCCCGCGCACTTCGCAAAGAGACAAAATAAATAAATCTCAAAAAATGATATTTTTAGATTTAACGGCGGCGGGGAGCGAAAGAAGCCCGCCCTGCTGCCCCGAGCGACAGCTGTTATTGTCCCGCCCCCCTTTTAAAATCCTGTTGACTCCTTTATCGCCTTTATTGAGTCTGCAGCGCGACGCGGCGACGCGGCCGTGCACTTCTTGCGCGGAGTGTACTCGCGAGAGTGCCCCGAGTACACTAAAGAGCGCCGGTGCGTGGGAGGGGTCCGGAGGAGTGTAGGTCCGGGCGGCACTCCGCCCCATCTGGCGTCACGTTCTGTTGACTTAACTTACGACTTCGGGTTCGTTTGGCCGAAGGGAAAAGGAAAAGCCCGAAGGAATAACGAACGCAATGCAAGGGATCCGACGGGACCCGAACCCTTGAGCACACATTCGGGTTCGGATTGGAGTTGGCCGCGTCGTGTGGCCTGCCGGGGCGAAGAGTGTGTATAGTATTGGCTGTGGGGCGACCGCGGCCGAGTCACTTGCAGTATTGGCGTCGTAAAGAACAACGCGGACTGCGCGTGACACACACACACACACACACACACACACACACACTCACACACACACACACACGAGCGCGGAAACCGGGTCAAAACGGCGGGCGTCAGGTGCGTACGCTATGGTCCCACGTGCGCGAACTACTCTCAAATCTTTCTGTTATTTTTCCGGGGCGGTTTGCCGCGTTGCCGCACCCGCTGCAGTGGAGTCCATGAAGACCGTGTTCCCGTCGTCCATCCGTCAGACATCGGCGGGGCAGCCCCGGACAGCCCCGGACAAGCCCCCCAGGACGGTCCGGTCTGATAGGCGCGGTTACTTCCGTAACATGATACTCCAGCCAGCGGGCCGACCGCGTGGCATCCGTTCCACTCCGAAACGTTCCGTTCGATTGGACACGGCCGGTGCCTAGTGTCGAGGAGAGAGGGGAAGGGGAAGGGTCAAACAGACCATCCGTGTACGCAGAGCAAGACAAAAGGCAGCGTCATACCGCCGCACACACGCACACACATGCAAACGCATGCATCGTGACAGCCGCGCCCGGGACGAAAAAAAAGACACACACACACACACCCACAGGCACACACACGAGAAAAAAGGGCATTTGACGCCGCACCCTGCGTGCATGACGCGGACGTGATTCGATTGCCACTCGTCGAGATATCGATGCGGACATTCGATCGGTGCCCGCGCGCGATTTGGCGCGAGGAGTGTCCGGGCGAGGCTTGGCACGGCACGGCCACGCCGAGGATGTTCTT